CGTATTAATCTTGTATGCCACCGTATGTATTTTGAAACTACAATGAAAATAAGTTTTATTTGAAAGAGTTGGTTTGCAAGGCTTTTATTTTATCCCAGACCCAAGTTCGAATCGTGTTAATGTCATTTTTTCTTAGTCAAATTGTGCCAGCGATTGGAAAAAAATTCCGTATATTTGTTCCTTATAGTCAAACAGTGCCACCATTTGAAATTTTTTTCCCTATAGTTTTTTTCTTATAGTCAAATGGTGCCACCATTTGAAAAAAAATTATGGGTCCGTCCCTGGTCGGGAGAGAATCTCATGGGAGCGAAGTCTTGTATATGAGAGAAGTCTTGCGTTGGGAACCTAAAGTTTTGGAAGAGAAGTCTTGATAACATCAATAATTTGTACATAAAGCTTATAAACTTGTAATTAAGAGATTTAAGACTTTATGCAGTAATAAGTAGTACTTTATGCATCATGACTTATTTGTAGGACTCTCAAATATACTTTTATAAAGTAGTATAAATTATAAAAAAATTAAATTTTATAAACAGGAAAACCGTCTATTTCCTGATAGGGATGGGAAAGTGGAAGTTTACCCTTTGCATGTGCATAAAAAGGGAGATTATAAAAGCACATACAAAAGATAAACACTTAGGGGCCGTTTACCTAAACACTTACCCGGTAAGCGTTTACTGGTAAAATTCAACACTATCGCTTACTTATCAGGTAAGATTTTATTCACCAAAACGCATCGTATGCAACAATTTATCCCAATAAGTGCTAACTATGGTAAGAGTTGTCGTTCTCACTTACCGGGTAAGACTCTTGATTCTTGTCTTCGTTCTTACCGGATAAGATTCTTAGTCCTTACCATATTAATCCGGCAAAGTAATGTGACTTGATGAGTGCTTACCCGGATATGCATTTGGTAACGGCACCTTATACAAATTTAAATCCCCCTTTACCTCCTTGACATGTTGCCATCTCTAGTAAGGCCACCATTCCTTACAAACAGACCTAAGATATGCATGTTTTGGAGAGGCAAATCACTTACCGAGTAAGATTCTTGATTCTTTCCAAGAGGCTTCAAATCATTTACATCCAACTGTATTACACGGGCACACAACTAATTTACATATATTGTTTCACACATGAAATAATACATGTAAGATGCGAGTACAGATGAAACAAAACACAAGAAACACCTTGAACCCTAACTTAAAAAATAAAACTCATCAGGATAGATTGTAACATCCGAGTGGTTTTTATCGCTATAAAGATGTATCGAACGAGACCAACAAGCCGATGCAGCCTCACCACCAATACTCGAAGCATTTCCGTACAATCTGAAGAAACCACGTTATACACGATTCAACAACCTCCTCAAGACTTTCTAAAATCTCGACTTCTGTTAGATTGTCCTCTACTCAGTTTTTGCCCCTGAATGAATGTAAAAAAAACCCAAGTTTTAGATTTATAATCATAATTATGCTTATGCATAACCATATTATATATAAATGAACATACCTGATATGATGATTTAAATGCTGCTCTTCTTTTAAGGAAAACCTTGAGAGCCTGTTTCTTTTTCTCTTCTGCTTTCAGTTTTGTTAGGCTGGGCCTATAGATGATGACGGTTCGACCAATTCGACCAACCACCACCGAACCAGTGGCTTCCTCTAATTGATTCACCACATCCTCTAGCTCCCCTGGACAGTTGTTATGAATTTTAAGCTGTTTCACATGTTGCCTCCATTAGTCATCTTCAAACAAACCCATCATCTAATGTATATACCAAACGAACCCACTATATCCCATCCAGACGTGGGTTGGGGTAGGATGTATGAAAATCCGACCTTTACCCCAAGTAGTGTGAAGGTGTGTGAAATATAAAGTACCCCCCCCCCCCAACACACACACATACCCTAATCCTACGCATCCAATAACTATTATAAGAGGTCATGTTCTTGGAAATGCCTAAGCTGTCATGCCTAACCTCATGTCCTCTTCGCCAACCCTCCTCCTCGTCCCCTCAATCATCACGCTTTCTATCACTCTCACTGGAGCAGCCATCTGCTACGAATGTGACCAAAACACCGCAATCTTCCCTCACTCAGCTGATCCGTGACCTGATCAGCTACAGAATCTTGTCAAACAAGGTTCGGCCACAGCTCCATCTAATCATCCTCATTTCTGCAACTTCCAACTTCCTCTCATGGGTCTTTTATCGCCCAACACTCCCGACCTATACAACATAGTTGGTATGCGCCTACCAAATAATTCAGTTTTAGCAGGACCTTGTCACATAGCACCTCCGTGGCAACCCTCTACTTTAGCCACCCCGTGTTTATGCGTTATGTAATCTATGACCTCATGTCCTATGAAGAGAAATAGGAGGTACTTTTTCTTAATCATGGTACCTAGCGCCTTTGGCCTAACTAGTCTATGAGGTTCATGCAAAACACCACTCCACTGTAACTAGTCTATGCTAGAAATTTCCTGCCAATGAACATGCCCCTCAAAAGAACCGATAGCACCTAGCAACAATTGAACCTAATACCTCATGCCACACTAAAATCTTGGACCCTATAACAGGCTAAAAGCCGAAAACTAAAAGATGCTCAAGAGCACAAGAATAAATTCCATTATACATTTGCCTGAAATCTTTAATTGTTAATAGTTCCAAAACGTAAATAAAGCGTACAAATTGGAAATTGCCATAACAATTTCTAGATCACCGGCATTCTTAAACAGTTATAAAAAGCCATAAGACCGATGTAAAGCTGCCCAATTCCAGTGTACGTTTCCATACGCCCCCTGATTACATATCATTCAAATGAAATTTATCATGACAGTAACAAGTTCTGGCTTTTGTTTAGAACTGCAAACCTATAAAACAAACTGAAAGTAGTCTGCAAGAATGCAGTATAACATCCAGAATTGAAACGGTGAAGATACATTTTATAAGCCAAGAACCATTTTTAGAACCCTAAATTCGAGTAACTTCTTAAACTTCTATAAAGGCTAACCCTAAATCATCAAGTTAAATTCCGAAATTCAACATTGTTTAATCCTAGAGAACACTCTTAAACCCTAAACTAGATATAGTAAGCTCCAATATCATGATAATTCCCATTACTCTGTTTCATGGGGCTGTCGCAATCTTATAATTTGATAGATAGGATAAACCCTAAATATAATTGTAAACCCTTCCCCTAATAACAACCATACTCCAATCCAAAAAACAGATTTGAAATAAGAGGAATTATACCTTGAGAAGCTCGTTGGCTTCAAGGGTTTCGACCAACGCCGTGGCGACTGAATCCGTGACGCCGGACTTCCCCACCTGTTGTGATTTGAGCTTTTTCCCCAAACTGTTGGCGTAAGAACCCAACTCTTTCTTCTCTTTCACACTCATACCTTTCAATTTCGACAACATTTCCTTATGTGCATTCGAAAGTTTAGCATCTACAGGGCTCTCAATTTCAGTTACAATCTGATGATTATCATCAGTTCCGATTTCTGAATCGACATGGCTCTGGGTATCTTGTTCGGTGGAGGTGGCGACTTCTGAATCGACGTCGCATTGGGTGTCTTGTTCGGTGGAGATGGCGACTTGGATTGAAGAGGAGGTGGAGAGAGAACGAAGAGTGAGTGAGGAGAGAGCAGTGCGAGAGATTGGCAGAGGAGGGGTTGGGAGGGATATTGAAGGCGTATGTTTCAAGAGTTTGAAAAGAGAAGGGGTGATAGCGGAAACATGGTTGGTGGTGGTGGACGGCGGTGGACGGCGGAGAATACATCGGAGGATAAGAGGGGAAGCTGATGATAACGCCCCCATATTCTTGGTCTGGTGACAGAAGTGTGGGTTTAACGGAGTTACGAATTTGCTCCATTTCCTTTTATCAAACGCCCGAACGCGGATTACGAATCGTTTTCAGCCAAATGTAAAAAATTATTAGGATTATTCAATTTTGAGATATCAAATTCCTTAAATATGTAATAAAGTTTGTTATATTTGTATTTAATTTAAATTCAAATACATATCCATCCAAAATGTTGGTGTTAGTAAGTTCTACAATTATTCATAAACCCTTAATCACAACCCGAATGACTGAAGCGGTGAAGCAAAACTAAATATGGGAAAGATAAAACTTAAAATTATGAATTGTAAAAGGTTAAGCATAGTTGAGTCGTACCATATGGATAAATGACCTGTAATTAAGACTTTCAAGACTTTATGCAAAAAAAAGCAGTACCTTGTGCATTTATTAAGGTTGTTTTTATGACTTTTATCAAATATGCTTTATAAGGTAGTATAGATTATACATTTTTATATCTAAGGTTGGTCTTGATGAAGAACTTAGGAATCAAAGTAGATTTCTTCTATCAGTAGTCCACACACGAACACGTTTTCTGGCTTCCACCAGATGCTACTCCAGAACTCTAGATCTAATATGTGTTTATAGCAAAATAGAAAGAAAATGTTTCTTATATGTTTTTATATGATAACTAAAATCTAAAAAGATTTAATCAATATTGATTTTTAACTTATCACCTTATTTATGTATTGAGTTATAGAATGACTATAACTCAAATAAGATTATGTAATTATATGTAATATTTATATAATTATTTTAAACTTTAATAATTATATATATTTATAAATAACATTACATAAGTATCATAATTATATTTTAACATATAAAATAATTATTTTAATAATAACATGGTTTAATTCAGATTTAGAAAACTCATTCTCACTTTGTATAAGAAGTAGAGATGGCCAAAAACCGGTCCCGGGCCGATCCTAATCGGTTCTCACCTTTCTCGTAACCGGCCATAACCGGTCCCGGTCGAAAATGATAGGACCGGTCAAGGTACTTCATAACCGGTTATGGGCCGCCGGTCCCGGTCCCAACCGGTCCTTGCATTAAAAAAATAAGATTTTATTTTTATTTTTTAATGATATATATTTTTAATATATTATAAAATTTACAATTGGGTCATTCAAATACACTTTAAAAATGCGTTTTAATATAATTAAAATTACGTTTTTTTATAAAAATACATTATAAAATTATTTAAAAATACATTTATTTATAAAATTATTTGAATTTTTGGGCCGGGCCGGGCCGGTCCATAATCGGTCCCATAAACCAGTCCCGGTCAATCCCGGTCCCACGAAACTACCAAAAACCTCAATCGGTCCCGGTTTTCGGTCCCATAACCGGTCCTTATCGATCCCGGGCCGGTCCTTTGTCGATCTCGATCCCGGTCCTCCGGTGGTCCCGGGCCGGGCGAGGCCGATTTGGCCATCTTTAATGAGAAGGGAAGACAATGGTTTAAAGATGCTCTCGGCTTGGGCTTTGGTGTCATCGTGGGCTGCTAAGATTAAACAAATAGATCAAGAACACACATGGCCCAACTGACTTTAAATATATGACTCGGCTCAAAAATCAAGATCAGTTCAACCAATTAAGAGGTTGTTTATTTATCTCTTAATAATTCCAATAAGAGGCAACCTTTAAATCATTAAGAGATGAATCTTGTTTGATAAAAAAAAAGTATGTTTCTTAATGATCCTAAAACCCTTTTAATAGTTTTGTATCATTGGTCTCCCTTAACCATTAAGCACCATAATTTCATTGTAAACAATTATATTTCATTTTTTTATTATATCATGAGAGTCTCTTAATCATTCTGCATCAAATCATTCAGCAACTGCCAAACAGTCCCTTAGGGATTGTTTGACTCGAAAAGTGGACATCATACACCTTTGGAAAATGGCAGGAGTATTACAAAGTTCAAAAGGTATTCTTCTTGGTTAGAGTTTAGACTCGGAATTTTATGGAGTTATCAAATTTTTTTGCCTCTAAGAATCAGGGAGTGCCTTTGTGATGAAAGGTTCCGTAACGCCTATTTGACACGAAGATGTGTCAATAATTTGGGTTGAATTTTCAGCAAATCGACATAGGGCCAGGTTAGGCCAACTAGGTAGAAATACGTACAATTGATTTCTAGTTGAAGTGAAGTTATTCCTTGTGGAGTATCAGTTTGAGATTGCAAAAAGAGTTGATTTAGCAATGAAGTCGGTTAGATCATTGCCACAGGGTGTTGGTCTAAAGAACTATCAACAAAAACCCTCGTAGGTTGTGAAACTTATGGATTACTGCTTTCAACAAGAATTGAAGTCTTCAAACTCGTTAAAAAATAAAAAAAGGGGGTTGCGAAGAAATTCTTCAAAATCTTCCGGAAGCAGATGATTAATGCTTTTGTAGAGTTGGCTGCAATAACTATTTCATTCACAAGTTGAAGTTCGACGCCTTTTGAGGATTTATCTGAAAGTCTTCCTTTGTTGTGTTTACTGAAAGATAAATGTGTTGAAATCATACCACTTTTGAGAATGTAAACCTTGAGAACTGGGGGTGTGACGATTGACTTTGGCCTTTGTCAAAAGGTTTAACTCTGGAATGTAAGGATTATGGCAAATAAGCATCATTAAAAGAATCGACAAGCATTAAGGCATTGATCGTGGAAATGCTGCCCTACAACGCGGGACTCAGGAGTACGCTTTGTGCCCTAGTGTCGCCAAGTGGGTCAATATCTCCCTATTAGTCATGGGGATGATTCAATGTTGAGATCTCGTATTGGTCGACGTTATTTTAAGATTTTCAGTGTGCAACTTGAGAGGTGTGGGAAACCTAATCATCATTGAAATCTGTTCTCTCTCCTCTGCACCATTTTGGCGCAATGATTGTAAGAGCGTCTTACGAAAGAAAGAGGGTGTAATATTCTTTTCTTTGTATTAGGAGTGAGTGAGTGGAAACGGTTGCTCGTGTCATGGAACCGGTGATAGTTGGATCGTAAATCGTAATTATGTCAATGCCATTAATGATCAGAAGAATATGTCTTTGTTGAAAGCATTTCGGGACTCAGTAGGGCCTTGAGTTGCAGGAACCAAGAAGAGTTTTAGGGGCTGTTTGGCAGTTGCTGAATGATTTAGTGCAGAATAGTTAAGAGGTCAGAATGGTTAAGTGCTGAATAAAATAATGTTGTTTGGTAACTATTCTCTGAATGACAATAAATTACCATTTTAACCCTCATCTAACAAAAACCCATTATTCGTATTCGATTCAACTTCTTCCAAATCATGGGAAGCCTCATGAACACCTTCTTCTTCTTGATCTTCAAAATCATCTTTTTCATACTTAAAAACTCTGGAAAAAAAACATGGGTTCTGATTCAAACTCCCTTCAATGGCTTCCATTAATCCAACCCTAGAATCATTTAATACCCCATTTGAAGAAGAACTGCCATGGTTAACAAAAGACGACACCATTTCCCACGCCATCAAACCGGAGACGATAAAAGTCGCCATGACCGCCGTCGCAGTCGTCCAATCCTTCGCCGGAGGAACAAATTTCAAAGTTCTGTATACTGTACACTTGACGACCCCAGAAGTCTTGTGAGGAGATCGACAGGTACACTCGATTTCTTTTTAGGGTTTAATTTTGA